CAGCTATTTATTTTATTTGTTTAATACATTTCTGATTTACTTGTGCAGTGTTGAAAGTTAGCAACGTTAAAATAACGCATAAATATTTTAAATTTCTGCACAGGTGACCGCCAAGAAAATAACGTTTTAAAATCTCTTTATCGTGGTATACGTCTTGGTTTGTATTATTTTCTTGTAAGTAAATGCACTATATCAGCCATAACAAGCACAACACTGGGACCACACAACTATACATTATTTATTTATGCAAGTCCTTTAGATTGATTTCAACACAAAAACAGTCCTGCAAATATATAAATTTTTACGTTACTGTGTGATGCCTAGGCAGCTACTGAAAAGTTGAAAAGAGCGAGAAAAGTTGTTGTGAACCTAGATTTCTTTTTTTAGAAGCAAATCCTTTTGTTTTTTGGGCAGATGCTTCTTTTTATAAATACAAAAAATTATGTAAAATCTTTTACTTTAAAGAAAACCCTCGAAGCAAAACCTTTTCCTTCGCTTTTCTTTATGCATATACCTTGAAAGAATTACTTCAATTTTTAGAAACAGAAGCATAAGCATACCACATAATATCTTATTATAATACACGTACCAGATAGATGACTTTGTGTAACATAATTATTTTTTTATGACTTCCTTTTACTTCTCTGTGACGCTGGTGTGTTGGCAATTTTAAAATGTGTAATTATCAATTCAGGAAAGTAGAATGCTTAAAATTAATATTGATTTACAGTTGAAAACAAGGAAATCAATAGCATCCTAAAGACCAAGGATGGACGGACTTGAATTAGACAAGGATGTAGCTGGATTTTATTAAGGAATGGATATGAAAACTACACTGAAAATAAGACGAGGGATTAACCAAATGGTAACGAATTCGATTTTTGGGCCAGAGGCTTCGTTCACTGTCAATATACGATTTTGCAGTGGATAGTAGTTGTAAAATTTTCATTAAATTATCCCAGAAACTTTATAGACATTTGAAACCTACTTGCAATAGTTAAGTTTAAAATATCATTTTGAATATGTCAAAAGTAAAGCAACAAAATTGAAGTAGAACTAAGTAGCTACATTTTTTTTAAACAGTGTGAAAGTTAAAATATAAAAATGATTTTTCCTTTTATCAAAAAAAAGAAAACCTTTACACTTTATTAGCAATCGTTTCTGATTCAAAAATTAAATGATATAATAAAGTTAATGGCACCACGTCGCCACAGTAATAATGTGTGTTGTTGTATCATGTGTGGTTAACTCGTTTTGTCTGTTCATTTCTGTAGATTGCCCAACAAACTTCCATTGCCCATTTCTACAGATTGGTCAACAAATCAGCTACTGAAAGAAGCAATGTCTACAATAGTACCTATTGTTTTCCCTGTACTTAATTTTCGATTTACTGTTGGCATCTTCACCTTACATGCGGCTGATTTTCGATGGATTAGTGTGAGCAACTGGAAGTTATTTGGACCCCACTGAAACAGCAAATCATCTGCATTGAATCTTTCTTCCTGGTTACGGCTTTTTCTCGCACTTGCAAATTTTGAAGAATTACATTCTACAGTTATTTAAGGTGAGAATACATGATTAAGCGAATAAAAACTAATTACAGTAAATCTTTAACTGTTGAACTTGAGAATGTTTATTTTGCTTATTAATTGTAAAATGTGTGTTATCTATTATTTATTCCATTTGCCTGTATCTAAGTTTATAATAAAGGTAAAGGCAGCAAGTCGCCATTGTATTTTTTTAACTGTTTGCTTGCTTTTAGGTGTATTTTTATTTTACGTTATGTGTGGTTAATTCATTTTCTCTGTTTATTTCTGTAGATTGCCCAACAAATGCGAGAAAACTGAAATTAATTTTGATGCTGCCAATGTCGCCTACAATGGTATCATATTTGCTGAATTTGGTTTGCTGTTGTCATCTTCACATTGCTTCATCAGGCAGTTAATTTTGGACCAATGAAAGAAAACACCTGGAAATTTATTTGGAAACCACTAACATCACGTCACTTTGGCCTTGCTCTGCACTCCCGTAAGATTTTGGAGCTATGCATTCTACAGTTAATTAAGGTGAGAATATATGATATAATTTATACTAATTGCTCTTTATTAATCTGTTACCACCCTATCTGTTTCAGATCGACGGTGGAGAAGACAAAGAAGATCCCGTAGTTAGAATATTTTTTGCCCTATTATAATCAAGCTCTTATTTTGCATGTTTTTTATTTTTAGTTTGCTTATTTTTTTGTAGTTTATTTTATTTGAGTCAATTTTAATTTTTTGCATGTTTATTTTAGTTTACTTTATTTGAATTCATTTTTGATTACAATGTTTTTATTTTTTGAAGTAGTTCTTAGTACTAACATGTTCACTTTTTTTGTAGAGTAGTCTAACATGTCTCTTGCTTACCTCTTCGCTTAGCTTACTGCATATTCTTACTATAAATTGCTTTGCATTTACCCTACGAGTTCTACATGATTCAACGTTTCGTTATCGTGTGTGTTTCTTCTCACCCTTGTGGAATTAGGGAGGGCCTCCCCGAACGACTTCCCTTGGGCTTAGCTATTTAGTTGATCTTAAAAGTGTCTTATACACTTTTCGCGAGTCTACTCTAGCGTTACTTCCTTTCAGACAGGGTACAGTGGGTTATCTGGAATAGGAGCAATAGGCGACTGCCCAGCTTGCCTTGGCGAA